ATATATATATATATATATATATATATATATATATATAGGGGCTGGTTGATAGAATCTATATATTGTCATTGTCTATCCAGAAGAAGTCAAGATGATAAGAATGATGAAGTTAAAAGAGGCAGCAAAGACTTAAATATTGTCTAAGAAGTGGCACTTGTGTTGCAAGAATAGGAATTCAAGCCAAAAGAGTTTGGTAAGTTCTCGTTAGAAGCAATGATGCTTCACCAAGAACTCGTGATTGAGTCATTCACACTACATTTCTCTTGTACAAACTGGAGCGACATGAGGCTGAAGTCAAAGAGGTCTCTACTCTTCGCGCTCAATTGTGAAGTGAAAGCATTAAATATTGCAAAAAATTATTGCTGGGTACCCCTAATTTTGTACTAGAACTTGCAGGTTCCATTGTTTTTTAAAATATACTTCGAGGTACCTTAAGATATTCGAAAACTGACTCCGGAGTGACAATCCGTCATTCTCTCCGTTAATATTCCTTCTCCGTTATCCTCCTCTTCTTCTTCTTCTTCTTCTTCTTCTTCTTTTTCTTCTTTTCTTCTTTTCTTCGTTTCTTCTTCTTCTTCTTTTCTTCTTCTTCTTCTTCTTCTTCTTTTCTTCTTCTTTCTCCTGCCTTCCAGTGACCTCCATTCCTCCCCCTCACCCCCATTTTTTTTTCTTCTTTTACCTTTTGTTTTGTTTCTTTTCTTCTTCTTCTATTATAATTATTATTATTTGTTATTACTTATTATAATTACTTCATAATTATTATTTTCCTATTCTATTATTATTATTAATTTTTTAATATATTTTTATTACTATTATTATTAAAAATTTATTGTTAGTTTTACCACTCTTTTCTATAAAAACAATAATTGTTATTTAGAAAAATAGCACTTATTATAAAATAACACTTATTATTAATACTATTATTTATTTTAAGCAATTAATTAGTAATTTTACATCTTTACTTTTTTATAAAAATACCACTAGTTATTATTATTACTTCATATTAATTACTCCTCTGTTCTAGAGTATTTGTCTATTTTTGTTTTTTCGGTCAAAATTAATAAAATTTAACCCTAAATTAAAAAAATAATATTAAATATTTATACAAAAATAGTTTTATTGAAAAAGTCAAAACCTGACATATGCTCCGAGACAGAGATAATATTATGTATTTCCTATTATTTTCTTAATTATTATTAAAAATTAATTGCAGAGTAGTAATTTTATTACTCTATTTTTAAGAAATACGGAGTAACAATCATTATTATTTAGAAAAATAGTACTCCACATTAGTCATTGATAGTCGCCATTGGTAGTGGTGTCACAGTAAATCGAGAAAAAAAAAAGAGGACTTGAGAAAAGAACAAGATGAATAAGTACCTCCGGATTTTTGTAAAGATAAATGAAACAATAAAAATAGTGTTAAATTTAATATTATTATGAATTACGACATACTACCTCCGTCCCAGAGTATTTGTCCACTTTTATTTTTACACACCATCTAATGCACTTTATTTAATCTATTTTATCTTGTAATTTGTATATTAAAAAATTTTAGAAATTAAATATTAATAATCTATATGTTAAGGCAAATCAAACAAGATCACACATGATTATATTTAGGATTACACATTGAGAGAATTTGATGAGTCAAAGTGCTTAGATAAACAATTCCAAAAGTCAAAACTGGACGAATACTCCGGGACGGAGGGAGTATAATTTATAACCAAGTGAATAAATAATTTTAATTTTATAAATGGTACGTAAATATATTACTAAAATTAATTTTCAATTAAAGATTTAGAGTAGTAAAACTAATAAAAAAAGTTAGAGTAGTAAAAATACTAATTAAATAAAATAATAATAATAAATAATTATTATAATAATAAAAAATAATAAAATAACAATACCTAATAAAATATGAAGTAATAATAATAACTAGCGGTATTTTTATAAAACAGTACAGAAGTAAAATTACTAATCAATTGCTTAAAAAGAATAATAGTATTAATAATAAGTGTTATTTTATAATAAGTGCTATTTTTCTAAATAACAATTAGTGTTTTTATAGAAAAGAGTGGTAAAACTAACAATTAATTTTTAAAAATAATTAGTAATAATAATAAATTAAAAAATTATTATTAATAATAGAATAAGAAAATAATAATTATGAAGTAATTATAATAATTAATAACAAATAATAATAATTACAATAGAAGAAGAAGAAAAAAAACAAAACAAAAGGTAAAAGAAAAAAAAACGGGGGTGGGGGGAGCAATGGAGGTCACACTGGAAGGCAGGAGAAAGAAGAAGAAAAGAAGAAAAGAAGAAGAAGAAGAAGAAGAAGAAGAAGAAGAAGAAACGAAGAAAAGAAGAAAAAGAAGAAGAAAAGAAGAAAGAAGAAGAAGAGGATAACGGAGAAGGAATATTAACGGAGAGAATGACGGATTGTCACCCCGGAGTCAGTTTTCGAATATCTTAAGGTACCTCGGAGTATATTTTGAAAAACAATAGGACCTGCGAGTTCTTAGTATAAAATAGGGGGTACCCAGCAGCAATTTTTTGTTAAATATTGTGTTTGAAAATTGTTCCCAATTTGGAGGGATATGCTATTCATTGCCACCTTCTTGTGGCTATGAAAGCATAGAGTCACTAAGCTTAACATAATGTAAAATCGATCTCGAAAGGGGTTTTAAGGAACTGCGCCATATGCAACTCAATTATCAAAACTATCCCGTGGATCCCTGAAGTCTAATATAAAAAATTCTATTTTAGAGGATCCTTCTTTTTCAAACATTTGTCATATGAGTTAGTCATTGTAATCATTACCATTTACTCAATAGATATCTTTGAAATGTTTACCTTTCTTGATCATACGGTGATGTAACTCAAAAGGTTAATGTTTAAAACACAGTCTCCAAACTAGAATTCTTGATTATAGACTACAGCGATCAAGGATTTACTAGATAGTTTTGATTCATTGAGTTGCATTCCCATCAAGCTTAGTGACTCAATGCTTTCATTGCCACAAAGAGGTGTCAAAGAATAACATATTGCTCCAAATACAAAACGCTCTTCAAACGTGATATTTAATGCTTTGACTCCAAGATTGAGCGCCAAGAATGGCACTTTCTTCAACCTCACACAACTCCTGTTTATAAGAGAGAAATATAGTGCGGATGACTCAATCATGGGTTCTTGATGAAGCATCAGTCTCTAAACAAAACATACCAAACCCTTTGGGCTTGAATTCCCATCCTTGCAACTTTACACAATTTTTGCCATTGATCTCCACTAATACTGCTACTCCTTGGACAAGATTGAAGTCTTTGCCGCCCCTTTCAACGTCAGACTTGCTAGTATCTTCCACAGGATACACTCCTGCAACATAGAGATTTTATCGACCATGGCAACAGACAGTGGTTGAAAGTCACTAGAACTCGTTTTTTGAAAGCCAGGCAAACTCAAAAAATTCTTTGATTACTTTCTTGAAACAATTATGTAGCTAATTTGAGTGCAACTCTTTTTGGACGTTATCTTTGAATTTAATATGACCCTTATGATATTTACTTGTAGGTAAACAAATGTGAATTCTAACTTCTACTCCCAACGTCATTTTGTAGCTCCACTTGTAGGCTTTCATCAATTTTGACAGATCATCTAGCACTGAATACTTTTAACAATATCCATGAGCCTCTGGGCACATTGGCCAACAATTGATGAAAACTCATGTTTTAAGCACATTTTAAGAAACAACTAGAGAAAAATTATACTCCATACTTGACAGTTGCCACCAATTTCTTTATCTCATACCACTTTCTTGTTGCATTGTTCTACTGTCTACCGTTGTTAGTTTGTTCATCTATGAAATTTCTCAAGAGTTGTAGTGACTGATGATAGAGACTAAGGTCCATGCCATCCAAATTTCTCCCTACTCGCGCCTTCAAGATTGCCTGAAATAATAGACAAAAATCCAATTACTAAACAGCACCTGATCCGAATAGAACCACCAAGGGTCAAGAGACCAACTCAAATACGTGATCACTAAACATGAATTTATACATGATAAGATAAGAACAATAAAAGAGGACCCAACCATTGACTTAAATAATAAATTCCAAGATGGGCTAATAAGAACCTTTAAATCTGCAGCCCACGAAGATTCAAGAACAAAGATTGTGCTTTAATTCTTCTTATAAAAGATGAGAACAAGCCACAAATTTGGTTAAAAATTAAGTTGCCGGCCCGCTAACCTGGCAGCTAGAAACAAGAAGCACCTGTTCTACATTCCAAACAAGTAATGAGCAAATTACCATACCTCATTACCGGATCCAAAATGTAGTTCTCCAATAAATTGGTAGATAGAGCCAGGGCGAATATTGACATTCAAGTGTTGTGTGTCTATCTTTAATGATGCATTATCATCAACAACTATTGCAGAGGCTGACTCAACGTCATAATCTTGTAGCCTAGAAAGGAAAATGAAAATAATTTAGTTTGGATTAACATAAATAAAAGGGAAAAGGTTTATAAATGCCCCTAACATATCGAAGAAGGAGCAAATTTTCTCTTCTTCCACATATTGGGTTATGCCCTTAACATTAATTTTCAGCTAAAACATGCCCCTCCTATCGACTAGCTCAAAATTGTCTTTAACATTGCTTTTTGGATCAAAATGTCCTTGACATTATTTATTGGCTAAAAAATACCTTGTTTAACAGAGATGTGTGATAATTGTTTTTCGTCCTCATGAGTTGTTAACTCAAGCCCATTGAGTCAAGACCCAAATGAGTAAAACATGACCAATCACGTATCAAAATAATCAATCAAGAAAAGTTGTACTTTCCCATACTCAATTGAACAACTTCGAAAAGGAGTTTCTTATTTTGTGAAGTTTGAATCAAACTATATACAGACATGAGACGAATTTGATTTAAAAAAATGTTTGGGGTGATGTAGGAAATAAGTTCAACTTTTTTGTTTCAGATTTTAACAAAAAAAAAAAACCAAAAGTAAAAAAGTAGTTCGATTCGGTTTTCCAAGCTAAAATTTAAAATCATTGGTTCATGGATGGGAGAAACACTAAAATATGAGTAAAACATATGGAAAGAACCAAAGCAAGACCTTCATGTCTTTATCCCCAAAATAAGACTTATAATGCCAACATATAATACCAAAAAACACAGTTGAGTGCCAATATACAGTGACACATTATCACAATGCAATATGTCACTCCTATTTCGGGGATAATGGCTACACTTGGCTCCTATTTTGGGAAAGGGAGTATTTACTAGTATGCTATATCATTTTTCCTATATAAGTGATCACATCCTTCTATATTTTTTTTCAAAAAAAATGACCAAAATAAGTTCTCTGCTGTCTCATTATGATCAGCTTCTTGTTTGAACATACATTTGTGTGTGTCAAAGAATGTGAATCGTTTTAAGTTATAAGTTGAGCACAAAAGTGAAATCTTGACACGAAGGATAAAAAATCAATCAATTGATCAAGATGAAGATAGGAGGAAAAACAGAGAGGAAAAAAAAAGATGAACATGCAAGAACATAATGCAAAAGATGCCATATGTGGTATGATGGATGGCAAGTGGCAACCCCAATGGTCGTTTCGGGCTAAATATTGATGATTTTAGAGCATCAAATACACACTATAAACAGGTTGAACCGTGTGGAACAGATCTATTTAACCATGCATTAAATATTAAAAACCATCAATTCTAAAAGATTGAAGAAAATAAAAATTGAATGGAAAAATGAAAGGCAGATTACCGACTTTCCAGTTACTCTGAGTGAGGCCCCTTGCTTGAAGAACGGCGAAGATGGATTCAGCTCTTGGAGAGTTACCAAAGTGCCAGATTTGATTGCGGATGCCGCCATTCTCCAACTACTGTCGACAAAATATGAACCAAAGAGCAATTTCACAAGACTAAATCTGAAATAAATTAGCAATTGCAAAATGGAACAAAAAAGATCATATTTATACTTGATCGGAAGAGTAACCTATAGCTATTGTTCCCCTTGACCAGGCCCGCCTGCGCCCCCAGAAAATGCAAGGGTTTACTCGCACAGTACGACAAAGATAGCCGATCAGTTTCTTCCACTTGCGGTTCTTTCTACAAATTCCTACTAATTTGAGTAACTAATATTTAACCCATGCAACGCACCGGGTCGAATGCATGTTATTTTTAAATCCGCTAATTTTTTATTTTAAGTAAATAATTATAAAATAACAGTAGATATAATATAGAATTTTAAATACAACATAAACAGAGTATGCTAACTAAAATTCATGCATATAAAAATTGAAAAGAATGTACAAATGTATCAATTAAATCCAAATTTTATGGAAAATGATGGTGTAAATTACTTGACCGGTCAAACTATACTAGACCGGGTCTAGAATAGTTTGCTTGATTTCGTAAAATAAGAAAGGTAAAAACACGCAAAGTGACCGGTAGGACTTTAGGTGGAACACCTGTAGCCCAATTTATATTATAATAGAGAATGCACGGTCACTTTTACAAGGGAGTTTAGAGAGAATGAATTCTGATCCCCTTCTTCGAGGGATACAAGAGGTATATATACTAAGCTGGGGGGACAGGACCACGTGCGCCCACGTGGGGGCACGCTGCTGATGTGGTGCGAGGTGACTGGTTTCGTCCTCGAGCTGCCCTGTCGCCTTGTGAGGGGAATCACTTCCCTTGTCGCGTTCTGGCTTGGAAACATTCCTTCAGCATCTCCACTGATTCCCCAGCAATGCCAACCACTACAGTCCAAGTCCTTTTGGACTCTCCCTGCCAGCACTCTCCAATCTCTAAAAACTGCACTGGTTGGTTCTTGAAGGTTGGATTTGCTAACTTCAAAGGATGAATTAGACGCCGGCATAGCAAAGACCTGTATACTATCCGAAGTATACCGGTCAACTTCTTGGTCAACCCTCTATCCTCCACTGACGATTCATCTTTCCCTTTCGAGCTTGACCTCTTTGACCGGTCAACTATCTGGTCCCTTCCTGTTGACCGGTCATGGGTGGAATACACTCATCAATAAACCCTCCACTTCTCGGTTATGCAATCTTTTCATAAGCGGAAAGTAAAAAATCTGAGAAATGGGTTCAAAGTTTGAATTTTCGTCTTTCCCGCTCGAAATTTTCAAATTCAAAATTTGAAGTGTCAGTTGCGACACGTGTTGAAAACTGAGCGTGGTCAGTCATGCGTCCTTTCGCCTTCCCTGGCGCAATGATGGCGCCGCCTGACGCGGCGAGCCCTGGTGAAGCCACGTCGCCTCCTTCCCCTCTCTCCTCGCCTATATAAAGGCTTCCAACCTCATTGCCTTCCTCACTTTCTCCTTGCGCGTCTCCCGAGTTTCACCGGTCAGTCCCTCCACTCTAGCTTCCTAGCCCTCCGAGTCAAGTAAGCTTCTTTCCTTTTCTTACTAGCTTTTTTTCTCCATTTTTTCTCCCGGTAAATGTCTTCCCCCGATAGCCAAAACATTTCTGCCTCGGATGCCTACGCATCCGAGGAATCCCTTTCTTCTTCTTCCTCGACTGGGTCACCTTCTCCCATTCCTGAAACCCGGTCGATTCCCAACCCTAATGTCCCAGACCCGCGGCCAGTAAATCAGATGCGTGGTCAGATTTTTCAGGAGAGGGATGCACCGGTAGAAGACGAACCGGCTCCCTATGACCCTGAAAACGAGTCACTCGAGGAATGGGAGGACCGGTTGGAAGCAGCCGGTTATTCTCCCCTCCCCACCAGCTATCCCTCAGAGATCTTTCCCCGGGTCTCTAAGATAGCTCAAAACAAGGTCCGTAGGAATCTGCCGGAGGGGTACGTCCTTGAATACGACCCCAGCTAGCCAAGTGATGACGTTGTAATCTCGGCCTTCGTAGATGGAGTTAACCTTTGACTCCCATTCTTTGGTAAGACTTCGCAGGATTTTCCTCATTAACTCCTTGTCGGTGAGCGTCTTTCCAAGCATATCAAGGTCGTTGACGATGTTTGAAAATCTTCCAAACATGTCCTCCACAAGTTCGTTCTCTTTCATAGCAAATAACTCATATTCATGGGTTAGTAAATCAATTTTTGATTCACGAACTTGAGGCGTACCTTCGTATGTGATCACGAGCTTGTTCCACATTTGGTTGGCGGTTTGGCAACGAGATATCTTTTGATAATTGTTGGCATTGAGAGCACAATACAAGAAGTTGATGGCGGTGGCATTTAATTGAGCCTTCTTAAAGTCGGCTTCATCATATTCATCCTCGTCCTTCGGGATGAGTGTATCGCCTATCTTCTTCATCGGCAAGTTATCTCCATTCTTGATAGCAAGCCAAATTTTGAAGTCGTTTGATTGAACAAAAATCCTCATTCGCTCCTTCCAATAGGAGTAATTTGTTCCATCAAAAAATGGCGGCCTTACGGTGGATTGCCCTTCTCCTATCCCTGCGTTCAACATTCTCAAAAAATTTTGATCGTTTTCTCAAACGTCACAAAGAGCGTTAGAGATACCCGCTCTGATACCAATTGTTAGACAAGGCGTGCAACTCTAGAAGGGGGATGAATAGAGTTGTTGAGAATGTTTACCGATTTTCGCAGGATTAATAATATAAACGTAAGTGCAGCGGAAATAAAATAGAGAAGGCAAAGAACACACCGATGTATACTGGTTCACCACCTCGTGGCTAGTCCAGTTCCCCGAGAGACTCTCTCGAAGCTACCACTAATTCCGTTAAGCTTACGGGTGCTTAACAAACCGTTTACAACTCGAGAACTTGAATTCCACGAGCCTCGTCACAACCGCTCGTAGATATGCCCTCTACAAGACTTCACACCCAAGACTTAAGTCACATAAGTCTTATACAATAAGAAGAACAATCTTCTTCAGCCTCACAACAATAACTCTCACAAGAGTAGAAATGAGAAAAGATTAAGCTCTATGGATGACAAAACACTCTCTTGAAAACACTTAGTTTTCTCTTAAAATAATATAAATTTGAGGAAAGATTGATGGAGGATTAACACTTCAAGAAAGGGGAGTATTGGAGTGTTTCTTGTTATTAAAAATGACCAAGGAAGAGTGTTTATATAGAGGAAAAAGAAATAAATCCGTTGAAAGTAGGGATGAAGTGTTTTTGACAGACCGTTGGGGATCGATCCAGGGCAAAGGATCGATCATCTGGAGTAATGGATCGAAAAAGATTTTCTGTCAAAGCCACGGGGGATCGATCCAAGGCAGGGGATCGATCCTCTGGAACCAAAAATCCGGAAAAGAATTTTTGCAAGGGATCGGCGGATCGATCCAAGGAAATGGATCGATCCAAATCTCTGAGCACAAAACACGATGATCGATCCTAACAAATGGATCGATCCAATGACGAACATTTCTCAAACATGAGGACCCAAGACATGTGTGCGAGTGTGATGTACAAATTGGAGTGAAATGATTTGTTTTAGACAAGAAAAGATGTCAAGGAGGCTCCTAATAACAAATAATTCACAAGGGTTGAAATGAATTAATTCAAATTCAAAATTTGAATTAAATAATGAATTTGTGTAGAAAATGAGTCCAAAAATATTTTGTGTCAAATGATGTACACGAAAAATATTTGAATTTGTTCCACTCGTCGTCTCCGCTCTCAACTGAGACGCAGTGACCATCAGGGGTAACTTGTGGATTCGTACCTTGCGGGGGACGCGACGGCCCTGCAGCGTTAAGCGCGCCAGTCAGGTTGACAGGGGCTACGGTGCTGACAAGTTGCGGCTGGAAAGGTGATGGCTGCGGCACCGGCGTCTGGAAGGGAGATACCGCCATTGGAGCTTGTAGGGGCATGGTTCCCGCGCCTAGAAGAGCGAACGGGAACATACCAGGGAGAAAAGGCATCCCCCCATTCTGTTGGCACATGGCCATGACCTGGCCAAAGCCCAGGATGGCCTGCAGGTTGGCTGGATCGTTCATGAACTGCGTCATGCTTGGTGGGAATGTGACCCTCGGTCCAGCGGAAGGGACGGGGGTCGTGAATGGGCTGATCGCGCTAGGCGTCGGGATTGAGCTCAAGCCCAAAGGCAACAATGGGGCGGAAATGACCGGTAGGGTAGCAGCCACAGGGGTGCTGGTACCCTCATTGGTGGCTTGTACCTGAGTGGAAGTAGCATTGATTTGCTGACTGGAAGACATTTTGAGTGGTGTTTTTGTGGGTAGGTTTGTGTTTAGAAGAGAAGAAACCTTAACGGTCCCACGGGTGGCGCCAAAAATGATGGTGTAAATTACTTGACCGGTCAAACTATACTAGACCGGGTCTAGAATAGTTTGCTTGATTTCGTAAAATAAGAAAGGTAAAAACACGCAGAGTGACCGGTAGGACTTTAGGTGAAACACCTGTAGCCCAATTTATATTATAATAGAGAATGCACGGTCACTTTTACAAGGGAGTTTAGAGAGAATGAATTCAGATCCCCTTCTTCGAGGGTTACAAGAGGTATATATACTAAGCTGGGGGACAGGACCACGTGCGCCCACGTGGGGGCACGCTGTTGATGTGGTGCGAGGTGACTGGTTTTGTCCTCGAGCTGCCCTGTCGCCTTGTGAGGGGAGTGCATTAGTGTTTTCCTCGAGCTGCCCTGTCGCCTCGAGCTGCCCAGGCACGCTGCCGATGGAGTGCATTAGTGTTTTTCTCCAGAAGCTTCACGTCTTCAATGACCTCAAACAACCATTAGAGTATATTCTAAAACTCTTATGCATGTCTAGACTTTAACCCTTGCGATGCACGGTAAAAATAGTATATTCTAATATTTCTATATAATTTAATCATGTTTCATAAATTTACAATTGGTTCTTATAAAACCACGCCAAAAATAAACTTTCCCGTGTAAAATCATATTAAATAAATTGAACAAAAGTTAGAAATTGTGAAAAAACTTCATTATACAAAACATTTGAAATGTAATCCGGGGGGATCATTTTGATCATTGTCAGTCAAGATCTTCAATTCTTGATAATTTGTTACACGCAAAACAACCTCTTAAGAGGAGAATCGGAGCTTATGCAATTTTGTCGTAAAAGAGGACGCGTGTAACTTGACCTTACGTGTAATTCAATTAGAATACCTTAATTTGCCACGTGTCAAAATTCTAGACTATCAACTCTCAAATATTATATTAAAGGAAATGTAATCCGAGGGGATCATTTGAAATGTAATCCGGGGGGATCATTTGAAATGTAATCCGGGGGGATCATTTTGATCATTGTCAGTCAAGATCTTCAATTTTTGATAATTTGTTACACGCAAAACAACCTCTTAAAATTGACCTAACTAACAAATGAGATTTTAATAATAATCTGACATGTAATGGAGATTGACCAATATGATGCATGACAATTAATTTGCTTCAAAATATGAAGAACAAATACTTTTTAGATAAAGAACAAATACCTCAAAATAAAAGTATACATAAAAATTTTTTTAAAAAAATTATTAGTATTATACGTAATTTATAAATGTACAAATCAAGACATTAAAATCAAAAGCCAATTGAAAAAATTGGGGGGAGGGTGGGGGAGGATAAAACCAAAAAAAAAAAAAAGAAAAGGACCTAAAAACCTAAGACCCTTAATTACAATAATAAAATTAAGTGAAAGGAGACTCCAAAGCTAGCTTGGGCAATAGTGTCTCTGTAGTAACTGGACTCTACTCACTTTGTTCATTTCCAAACATTTGAAAACCTGCAAGATGTTAACTTGCTCTTAATTACTTCAAGAAACAACTATCCAAAAGACCAATTTGCTCTAATCTTGGCTCCCTGCCACTTTGCAGTATATTACGTAGTATATCATTTCCAAGGAGTGAAAACCTGCAAGTTGGTAAGCTAAGTCGGCTCCAAGATACAATAACAAACTGCAATTATCCAAGAGACCATTCTAATATCATCTTATGCTTTCCACAACTCAAGAACCAAAAATATCACTTTTTCCATTTATAAGCTAGCTCCAAGAGTTATTATATTTCCTTATAGCCAATTGCAAGCAAGCTTTAGGAGGTATGGAGTTGTTGTATGCCCATAATGAAGATCAGGCCATCAATATGCATTGAATTATTGAAAGACATAAAATTTACCTCTCATGCATATGAACAACGCTTGCTGCCACCAAAAAAGTATATATGACATGCTCTTACATTGTTGCATCCCCACCTGTACATTTTTTATAACCTGCAAGTTAATGCAAAGTATGCTAAAATTTCACACTTTCCTTTTAAAAGTATTATTATAATAGCTAAAAATCACCACAACAAAAGTTAAAAAATGTTTTTGAGGTGAAATTCAATAAACAGAATGAAGAAAAACACAATATACCTCACAAAAATTGAAATATTCTCCAAAGGAGTTTTTTAAGTATTTTCTAATGGGTTCAAAACCATGTATAAGAAAAAAGAAATTTTAAAAAACAAAAATAAAAACTACTCTTGCTTGAAGGAATGTTCCAAATAATCACAAACCATGAAACTTTAAAGAGAAAGAATGCAGTTTACCTAATGACTTGATAGTCATGTTCTCGAAAGTCACATCTTTGTCCCTAATGTTCCAATCATGGGAGCTATACTATAGTAGAGTATCATCATGTACACACTACACATGATTTTTTTTAGGAAAGTTCTTCCACAAAATTTCATTTTTTTCATTGCAAAGTTTACAATTTTAAATCTTTAATATGTTGGCCTATTGTCCCAACATAGATAAATAAGTATATATGTGCTATAGAGGTTGCAGTAAGAATATTAGGACCAATTGAATTTTTAAAAAAAGGTTTAAAACTTTTCAAGTTTCAAAATTTCCGATGTCAGGGACCACGATAAATTTTATACTTCTATGTAACATAATAAAAAGACATTGTCATGGTATATTTATTTACGATACTTTAACCCGTCTAGTTTGGTTAAAGTCTAGTCATTTTCTTGTAATAAGAGTTTTACAGATACTTTTCTTGTAATTAATCTTAATGGAAATTTTATTTACGGTCCCAACTTTTGCACTATAGCATTCCTAGAAGTATGAGTTTTGCATTCTACACTTATTTTGACTCTACAATTTTGACTCAAAAACCATCAATCTTAGTGTAGAAACTTTGTTTTCCCAAAATGTCAAGGCATTCTCTGCCCTAGAGGATAGAAACACATCTAATTACACAAATATTATCTCTGTATCAATATTAATAATATTTATTGATAGGGTAATTAAACTGTCGTATGCCTTCAACACCGATTGGATATAAATAAAATGTAGCAAATTTCATCTCTTACCATCATTAGTGTAAAAATATTATTAGAACTAAACTTGAATGAATTGATTACACATAGATCCGCTATTTATAATAGCTACACGACCATGACCTAATTACGAGCCCAACAACAATGAGCCCGTTATCGACAAACCCTACTACATTCCTTAACACTCCCCCTCAAGTTGAGCATGAGGTTAACGAATGCACAACTTGGACAATTAAAAAAAATTAGGACTAAAAAAAACTTGATAAACAACTTGAACTTGATCTGCTGTGATAACAACGAACGAAGATGACTGGCCCTGCAAACGAACAATATATTTTGATGACGAATGACTCCCGCGCGGTGACACGGGGACGACTAACAAGCATCCCAAACTTGGAGGCCGTGTTGCCGGACTGGGGCACGACTATGCGACCAACCTCAGAAACTGATATGTCGAACTGAGGCGCGACTATGCGACCAACCTCACAAACAAACATGTCGAACATACAGCTGGTTGCACTTGGACATACCAAATAGCAACCAAAGTTAAACAACCAAATACTATGTCATCAAAAACATCATCAAATCTGTATTGACGAGAGACTGAACACGAACACCTTGATCCATGAAGTAAGAAACAAATCAAAAGCAATCCACTAATTAAACTGAACCATAATTGATCTACTATTTGGTTGCAAATTGAGACACCGTAGATATGTCTTTTGAGATTGACACATGGTGTCGATGGACAAAGCAACCCACAGGAACACCCCATGTTGACGGACAGTTGGAGGGAATTGAGAAGTTGCAGTATGGGACAGAATTTCCGCAAACGAACTTTGTCGGCGATGGATGACAGGATTCCCACGGCGACTGAACTGTGACTAATGACGGCCAGAAGTTGGCGGCCTGTTTATGTTCGGGCGAACAGGACTTGGTGTTACTGGAGTTGTAACACACAGTAGCGGACAAACGGAGAACCACACAGCAATTGACAAAGACAGTCCCCAACTTTGACAGCGGCTAAATAAGATTGACGCCTCCACCACCGTCGCCGGACGAACTACGGACGACGGCGGCGGAAGAGACTGAACACCGATAGGAACCCTAAGGCAAATTGGGATTACGGTGTTGAAGGCCCAAGATTGGCTTTGATACCATGTAAAAATATTATTAGAACTAAACTTGAATGAATTGATTACACATAGATCCGCTATTTTTAATAGCTACACGACCATGACCTAATTACGAGCCCAACAACAATGAGCCCGTTATCGACAAACCCTACTACATTCCTTAACAGTCTCTATAATACACATATATAGTGTTCGATATTGATTCATATTTCAACAATTAGGCACATATCCCTAACCTACGTTTGAACACAATAGCTTCACATGATTCTTCTAATAATCCCTCTTATTTTGTTCCTACTTAATGTACTATCTCCCCTTATAATACGAAAGGGTATAAAATCTTAAAATTTATAAGCTTAGGATAAGTAATAAATATTAAAGTTTCTTACATAGACTAAAAAGCTTATTATAACGTGACCAAACAAAGGGGTGCACCTATAAAGTTTGTGCGAGAGGCTTTAAATTCCATGTCCATACATCCAACCACCAGCAAATTCAAGAAACAGAGATGAATGTTAGAATACCTCCAAGCCAACGGTCTTCTCTTTCTGGGAAAGTAGAGGGTTAGAGAGCGGAGAAGGAACCGGAGCACTGCCCATTGATTCTGGCTAACACCAGGAATAAAGAGAAGAGGAAGAACAACGATAAAATTACAAAAATCATTATTATTCAATTTTAATTACAAAATAAAGTTAGAAATCTAAAATTAAATATAAAAAATTAAAAATAGAGGAAAATTATGACATGTGAGATTTGTACCTTGCGTCAATTGGTCAGCAATATCCTAGGCAAAACTCCCTGATAGGTGTTGTCAAGTGCTTCAATCTCCATCTCATTAAGCCAACATGAAGCTAAGGTCGCCGCCAGGTTCAGCATTCTCCAAAAGCTAAGCCCAATCCAATTTCTTGCCAAACAAAGTACGAATCTTTAAAAGCCTATTATGTGTTATTAAAAGTAAAATCAAATAAACAGAAAAAAGACCCGTCTAGATTGTGATACAACGCATCAAGATACTATGTATAAATTCATATATTTCGGCACATAGTTAGATAGATCTATAGAAGCAAATCTACTAACCTTGATACTGCTTGAATATAAAGAAAATTCAGCATAGCTATTTCTAAAATCACATAATTCCGTGCCAACATTTTTCACCACTAATAACCTAAATTATCCAAATGAACAACAACTTTTCTATGGAATACCATAAAAGTTTCAAAAATCTGAAGACATATTAGCACAAAACAAATAAAGCATAGAATGATAAAAAAAGATCTAATTAATAGAAATGAAAAAAAAATTGCAATCCTAAATTATATGAATGTCAATTTAAGCTTAGATTATTTGAATGTCATTAGTACTTGCCGACCAAGCCCAGCCGAAGCCGTCACTTTCAGCCAGGGAAATCTCCTTCACGTCCTTCCGATGGCAATCAGGGAATCGAAATCCATGAAATTACCGATTGAATATTGGAAACAAACCTGATTCTAGAATTGAAGCCGAAGAATAAGCGGATCTTGACGTTGTAGATCTCAAAATTGACGCAAAAAATCCGCGAAGAATCAACGGATTTTGACTATCCTTCGTTGTGGGTGCAGATTTCCTTTCCTTCGGCGAAGATTATCGCGAAGAATAAGCGAATTTTTGGTGAAGAGGCCGATGAAGAAATCAGCGGCGCATCGTGCAGGGGAAGAATCGGAGCTTATGCGATTTTGTCGTAAAAGAGGACGCGTGTAACTTGACCTTACTTGTAATTCAATTAGAATACCTTAATTTGCCACGTCTCAAAATTCTAGGCTATCAATTCTCAAATATTATATTAAAAGATTTCTTTTAATTTCTTTGAATATTTTTCAATTTCTTTCAATTATTCTCATTTTCTTCGAATTCTTTTTATTCCTCAACCAATTACTCTAAAAACGATTTTTCATGCAATTATTAATATTATTATTATTATATTATTATTATTATAATTATTATTCTTACAACTGTTATGTTCATAACTATAGTTTATGAATTATTTTTTTCATCTTATTATTTTTACGATTCACACTCATTGTTTTTTTCCAATTTTTTAATATAAATAAGACATTTTTTGTATATTAATCTACATGATAAAACAGGAAAACATCAATATTTTATACTATATTGAAAAAAATATAGATAAAATAGTTACATTGAATGTTTTATTAATCTAACTTTATATTAGACCACTCACCTTTCTCTTTATTATTCAAATTTTTCTTATTTTTCTAATTTTAATAAAAAAAGAAAGTCAAAATAGTTTAGAGAAAAAGAATAAAATATGAGTAAAACATAAAAATGTGAAAAAAAATTTTATGTCTTTATTCTAAAAATATGAGTTACAATGAAAATAAAATGTCAATCATGAAAAAAAGAATATGTTTGATTACATTATGTGACATGTCTCATATTTAAAACAAAATCTTGTAATATATAAAGGATAATTACAAATATGTTATTCATAATAAATATTGCATAAATAAATTGAGGTTCAACGTAACCATAATTACTTTTAAAAATTTAACATTTTAATATTTATGCTAACTTTGTATTATAACTATTTTTTGCAAAAGTAGTTCTTTGTGTATGAAAAATAAAAATACTTTTTTTATCTTATAGGCATTCATTAAGATAACGTGATGATGATGATGATGGCAATAATAATAATAATAATAACAACAATAATAATACTAATTTATAACAGCAAGAATTAGAATTGTTAGACAAACGTGCAACTCTAGAGGAGGTGATACAGTTGTTATTTGGAATGAGCATTTTTTGCGTGTGTGATAATCAAAATAAAAAATCGCAGGAATAAAGTAAAAGAGTAAGAGAAAGAAGAACACCGTAATTTATACTGGTTCAATCCTCCGAGAGACTCTCTCAAAGGTCCTATTAATCTTCAAACATCAACTGGCACTTGAAAAACCGATTACAACTCGAGAGCTTGAGTCACACAAGCTAAGCCTCAACTTCTTACAACAAGACTTGAGCCACACAAGTCTTAAGAACAAACAACAAGACTTGAGTTCTCACAAGCTAAGTCTTAGCAACAACTCAAACAAGATGAGTTTTACAACACAAGAATTATATTGAAGCTCACAAATAAGCAAGTTGTGTTTAAAATGTACGCTCTATATATGAATGACAATATCTTTGCACTCAAGAAAATATATATTTCTAGCTCTCAAAATAATATTTTGATTATCAAAAATGGAGCAAGAATCAAAAGTGATGAAGGAGGAACTTGGAGTGCTTGTATTTTAATTAGAATGAAGGTAAAAGAAGGATTTTATAGGTGTAAAATGAATATGTCCGTTGGGGAAAAAGATAAGACTTAAGATGAGATGCAACGGACGAAAAATCAATTTTTGCAAAAGGAGAAAATCAATTAGGTGCTGCTGAGTAAAATTCCTTCTGCGCGAAGAGGTGCTAATCGATTAATCCAAAAAGTGATTAATCGATTTTTAGCAGAAATCGATTTCATAAAAGATGAGAAAATCGATTAAAAAGTCTAGGCGAAAAACCTTATCTGTGCATGAAGAGAAAATCAATTTTTACAAAAGTGATATTGGATTATTAGCGCGAATTATTCAAAGACAGCAAGATTCCATTCAATGGCGAGTTCGGGAAGTACAATTGGCATTTTTCCATTGTATCCAACATGAAACATGTACTTGAAGACTCCCAATCAAGATCAACTTTAATTCAAAATTATTTTGAACTATAGGTGAATTATAGAGAGAACATTTGAGTCCCAAAATGTTGTGTCAAACAATGTCAAAAAATATTTGAATAAAATATTTTTACTTTCCAGAAATATTTTCTAACATAAAAATAATCATTTTGAAAATGTTTGACACATGTTTTGTAACTGACTCAATAAATTTATTTTTGAATCGTTAAAAGATTTTTCAACTGACTCCAAAAATAAATTTATTTTTTAATGTATAACCCTCAAAAAATAATTTTTTTAAGTACAAAGATATTTTGTCATCATTACAAAATTTCCTAGACTCAAAATAAATAAAAGTCTTCAGAAAACTTTTTTTACTTGGTAATCTTGCATAGGGATTTGGAATGCCAAAACTTTGTCGTTGTGAAATTCTAGATGTGCCTCATTGCTTTCTTAAATCGAAAAATAAATTTTCGTTCTGCATTGCGTTTGTCATTTATCAAAACCTGAAAACAATAATTTCATAAAATATCTAAAGGAGTCAGAACTTAATAATGTCCAACAAGAATGAGAATAATATAAAAATACACTAATATAAATTTTTAAAAACTTTTTTAGATTTTCTAACTTTTTGAAGTTTTTCTAGTTCATTCTAGTTTCTTCAAGTTCCTTCCAGGTTCTTCTAGTTTCTTCCAGTTATTCCAGTTTCTTCTAGTTTTTTCCAATTTTTCCAATACCCAGCTCTTTTTTTCCAGTACTAAAGAACACACTCTCAAAAAAGAGTAGTAATGCTATCATACAAACGGGTTTCAACTAAGTGTTTGACCACATTTTGTGTTTGTGTGAACTATCACCCTAGCATTACACTGACACAAAATGAAGGTGTAAACCTACGGTGTACAAATTGGGGTATAAATCTTGGGGTACAAATAGTTTAATCCTATCCCCATTAATACTTAACTAAATATTATTTTTGAGTAAGAGAATATTTATTTTGAAATAACTACAATTTTCAAATAGAATGGCCTTGTTTGGATGTTGGCTATCGGCTGTTGGTTGTTGGCTTTTTATGTTAGTTATTCCGAATGGCTAATTAGTTCAATTCGTTTAACCGGCTTGATGTGTTCGTTGGATAATCGTTAAAAATGTTTGGTAAAATTAGTTATTTGAAAATAGTTGTTACACTTTTTATCTATACATTATATATATTGATTCAGCGTTTACCAACACCTATTGGTAAAATTCAAGTTTTGAAAAGTGACCTCAATGGAATCCCAAAACATTCACCGCCCTCCATTTTTCAATGGCCAAAACTACTCTTATTGGAAAATGTGGATGAAATATTTTATACAATCCATTAGTTTTGATATGTGGTACGGTTGAACATACTTCACGAGCCATTGGTACCGAGTAGTGGTGATTTTGCAGGATTATCATCGGAGGACAAGAGAAAATTGTCAAAAAAATGCAAATGTGATAAATACCCTTCATTGTGCTCTTGGCCCCAATGAATTTACAAGGGTTAATACATGCAAAACGGTCAAGGAGGTGTGGGACATGAATAAGAGGTTCGACGAAGTTGTCAACAAGTTAAGTAAGTTGGAAAAGACGTATACTACTTGCAAATTAAATACGAAAATATACTATTTTCTTTACCTAAAGAATGACATAATAGTATAATAGATTTATTACACAAATGTGAGAAAGCCAAAACCACCCACATTTGGTATTCTTTGTATTTTCATGAGCTTTTGACGAGAAAGATCAAAGAGGAAGAAATGGATGAAAACCCCAAACCTACGAATGCCTTCAAAGCCACAAAGGATTCGTTAAGTGAAGAGTTGAGTGAGTCAGAATGATAAGACTAGTGAATCAAGATCATCAAACGAGTCAAGTGAGAAGGCTATAAGAACAAAATATACTAACTTCCTCAAATGGAAGAAGTATGTGAAGAGAAAAGAAATGTATTCCAAGCAGAAGAAAGAACGACATAAGCCAAGGTATGCTTTTCTTACTTATTGGGATAAGATTCTTCTTTAAATATTTTTAAAACTAAAAACTTATCCCATTTATGCTTCAATTTGTTTTAGACTTGGTTTGTCTAATTAAACAATTTTTCAAAATTCATTTTTAATCATGTCTTTTAAAATAATAAACAAAAATCCCTGAAAAAATAAGGTTTCAAAACTTGCATTGATTAAGGGGGGGGGTTTGTTTTAGGGAAAGTTTTGTTGTAAATGTACCTTGATCTTCAACTTATCATTTTAAAATTCCATTTATAAGGGGGAGGGGTTCAAGAAGTTATACATGTTTAAAAATTTTTAAAATACCCTTTTTTATTTTGACAAAAGGAGAGAACATGTATATTTCAAAGTGGTGCATATGCAAGTTAACTTAAGTGCATTCTTGTGTGATTATTTGCAACAAACTTGAACTTTTAATAAAAACAAGCAAAGTTCAGAGTGAGTATTTTAAATATGCTCATTCTCAGGGGAAGCTTGTTTGTTTCATTTTTTTACTCTTGCCTAACTCACTTTGAAGTATATAATGTTCGTCAACATCAAAAAGGGAGATTGTTAGTCTTGGTTTGTTAAACCTCATGTTTTGATGTTAACGAACAGTATATGAGCAACAAGAATCCATTAAGATTTGGTTCTCAAAAACAAAGTTGGAACATTAAATTATCGTAGAATATAGATAGAAACAAATGCAAGGACATGATTTTATATACCTATATTCACAAGCTCAAATGCACTAAAAAATATGTCTAAAACCATCTCTTTAAGATTTTGAAATATCCAAAAGATTTTAAACTCAAATGGAAAAGATTAAGAAAATTTTTGAAAAAATAGGTCACTGGTTCGATAGCTGTTACGGTATCTTGATACCACTGTCACGGTAGGCTATACAACCTGGACGGTACCCAGATACCACCTGGTGCAAGTTTTCACAGAGCTAGTTGGCATGAGCCGGTACCCAGCAAACACCTAATACGGTACCTCAATACCGCCATCCGGTACCATGCTACCGTTAGGCTG